TCGAGATTAAAATTCGATTAATTGAGCAGCCCTAGTGTTGTCTTGGACAACAATGGAAAACTAAACTGTGAATTGTGGCTAATTGTCAGAGTCTGGGTGTGTAGAGTAGACCGGGCCCACACTGGCAGATGTGACTTTTTCTAACAACCATGAAAACGAGGTTATGAAGATTGTTGTGTTGCACTTTGTTGCCTTTAAAGGCCAAAGTCCCTTTCAGTGCAGAGCTGTAGATGTAACACGGGTGTCTGTCAGCTGCCGGCTCGGCCCTCTCTCCCAGATCTGTATGAACAGTTTGTGGATGAGCCTGTGTGGCTGCAGCAGCTCTGTGAGACACTCTAGATCAGTCACAGTTTCTCTGTCCTTCCTCTAGTGATGCATTTTTGTTGTCATTAAACATTTCCTCATTATTTTCTTCAGAAATCAAAGCAGTGGATCTGATTAAGACGATTGCCCAGCAGTGGAGATCACTGAGCCCAGAACAGAAACAGGTATCTCATTTCTGTGTGTGTATAAACTGTAGGGGTGCAACAGTTCACCAGATCTATGGTTGGGTCGTAGCATCACAGGTTGTGGTCGTGGACTACACGTCACACCGACAATGTTTAAAGTCGTTTCCTTAAATTCCTCTGAAGTACATTGATAGTCATTCTCTACATCTTAACTAAAAGAATACATTTTCTTGATCGTCATCCAGAACCTTTGGGCCTGTTTAGAATATAAAGCCTGAAGTTTATACTGTATTTATACATTTACTGTGATTCTTCCAAACATTTTCTCATTAAATAAAACAGGAAGATGTGAAGAACATCAAAGGCATAAAGTGAAAAGTAGACTCGAGTGACCTGAGCGGGTCGGGCTTTTCTCACGAGCCGTTGCATCCCTAATAAACTGCTTCGGTAGCTCGAGGTGGGCACGTGCAACTGTGATAAATGAAAATATGCTTCTGTCAGGTTGTGTTTGTCACACACAGGTAACAATAGCACGGCGTTACCAGCGGTGAAAGTGGAAAAGTCCTCTCTGTTGTGACCCGAGTCTTTTGTTTGGTAGCCGTTTCAGGAAGCTTCTCTCCGGGCCCGGGAACAGTTCAAGGTGGATCTAGAGTGCTATCAAGCCCAGCTGACTCCTGCACAGCTGCAGCAACAAGCCCAGGAGAAAAGGCAGAGGAGGGCCAAGAGGAAGGCCATCCGCAAGAAGAGGGTAAGAAAGACAGAAAGGACCAGAGCAGGCTGGTTTTTATCTGCTGTGCACTCATCGTGGGTTTGCTGGGTTGGTAGTTCAATCCTTAGCTTCTCCTGTTCAAACTCTCTAAGGCACTGAATGTGAACTGTGCAGAGTTTTACTGTGTGTGTGTGTGTGTGTGTGTGTGCGTGCGCGTGTTTTCCAGGAGTTGACAAACCTGGGGAAGCCCAAACGTCCTCGCTCTCCTTTCAACATCTTCATGTCGGAGCACTTTGAGGAGGCTAAAGGAATTACGTCTCAGGTCAGGAAGTACACGTGCACTGATCCAGGGTCAGTGTGACCCTGATTTAAAAACCTGCAGCAGGTATCAGAGTTTCAGTGTTTGGTGTTTCTGCCGGCACGCTGGCGCGGCACAGATGACTAATGATGTGTAGTGAAGTCAGCCGGTGGGACGTTACCCCGGCAGCTTCTCTCCGTCTGTCACGTTTGATGTTTGCTGGGAAGCTTCTGTTGCACTTTACAGTAACACCACGTAACATCAGCTCCTGTAAGATGGTGTGAGGAGCAGGAGGCGCTAGTGTGAGCGGAAAAAAGATTAGCACCAGTACAAATGAGGTCATTTTATATGACGATGGTATGGATGCGTTTTCCATATCAGCAAACACACAGAGCCAGAGTTTCTGACATGAAGTGCACCTGCAGAAACTGGACTAAATGGAAATGCAGCTGTCAGGGTGCTGATGCAGCACCCTGACAGCTGCTCCAGTCATTTCTCTTGTTCTGTGTTGGTCAGCAGCTAAGCAGACACTGCAGGGTTGTTTTGGCCAATAGTTGCTCCTGTCGTTGTTTCAGGCTAAGATGAAGTCGCTGTTGGAGGACTGGAGGAATCTCTTCAGCCATCAGAAACAGGTCGGCAACACGCACCTTTCATCCTTGTAGCTGGAATGCTAATGAGTGCTGTCGGGTCTTCTGACATTTGTATTTGTGCCACAGGTCTACACGCAGCTCGCTGAGGATGACAAGATTCGCTACAAGAATGAGATGAAGTCGTGGGAGGACCACATGGTGGAGATCGGAAGAGAAGACCTGATCCGAGAGCGGACCCTGTCTACCAAGAAGAAACCTGCTGCGAGAGCCAAGAAGGCAACAAAGAAGGTAACAAAGAAGGCTAAAACTGTGAAGAAAGCCACGGGAACGTCAAAACCCTCCAAGAAGACCACAAAAAGCAGATCGGCGAAAACTGTCAGCCCGCCGTCCACCAAGAAGACATAAGACGCGTCCAGAGGAGGTGACAGGAGCTGTGATGGCTCGGGCGGAGCTCGGCCTCGCTTTTCTCTGACTTGAAAGTCAGCTGTCTCAGCTGACAGGACAGAACTTTGATAACCTTCAGACAGATCCGCATCATTGATGTCTCCAGATAAACCGCGATGGCAGCATTTGTAAAAAAGATACCTGTGAGTTTGAGTCCTTCCCTGTGATGCAGACTCACTCCTCCAGGCTTAGATGGAGTAGTAAAATACCAAGTTTGACTTTAAAAGTGTGAGAGCCAAATGAAGCAAGCCTGTTGGCGTCGGAGCGCTGACGTGTACCGCTGTGGTGTTGACAGGAACAAACGGGTTCCTGTTGCCGTCCTAGAACACCTGCAGGATTAATGTGGGCTGCATTTTTTACTTCAACACATCCACACAAAATCCTACAACAATGAATGAGTCTGAATGTGTCCTGTAAGGTCCACTGATTCTACCTGAACCTGACATAAATCCATACTTGGTGCTGGTGAGTGTGCAGCTTTAAACGCAGCGCTCCGGGCGGTCCCACATTTCCTCTTGAGATCAGAGCACCGCTGTTCACATGCAAGAAACCTGACTGAATTTTAGTGTCATTACTGTCACGCCTGTTGCTTCAGTAGCAACTTTAACGTGTGTCCGTGACCCTGAATGAAACCAGCTGCTTTACACTCTGTACTCGGCTAACGTCCGGTAACATTTGGTCTGTTCTGTTATTATGAAGAGCATAGTGTAGTACTGATAGCTGCTTTGTGTTGTAGAGTGCACAGGTCTCTGTGCTGCCATGTTCATCCTGCTTTATTATGTCTTTATTATTTTTTCCTCAATAAACCTTCGTATACAGTTTTCTTCTAAATGGCCTGAAATGATTCTGCATGTGTGCATGAAGCCCCCAGTGTCAGGCAGGATACAACATGTCAGCCGTATGACGACGAGGTGTTTCAGTGATCGGTGTTACTGACTTCACCTTTCAGGGCTTTGTGGTTCTTTGTGTGACACATTCATGCAACATTTGAAGTTTCTGGCTCAAGACATGCGTCGAACAAATGAGGAACGCTGTGACTGACGATGACCTGCTGTCCTGACAGGCTGCTTGTTCTTCAGCTCGTTTCCTGAAACGCTGTTACGTTCGTGGCCGAGGGGTAAATCGAAAGTAAGAGCCAAAACAGCGCTTTTCAAAATGCTATGCAGCCATTTATTGACGTCAGCAGTGAGCAATGCCAAAATAACAAACAAAGCTCTAACGGTCCCCAAGCTTCCCTGTCAAATAAAAGTCAACCAAAAACAGTTTATATAAAGTTTTACTTTGACAAACAGACCTGGGTTCAACAGAAAGGCTTCTCGCTCCGACCACTGGACTACATACACATGTACAGTGGACGGGTTACAAATGACCTCATTTACGAAGGTCAATGTCCTAGCACCAGACACAAATCAGCTGATACTAATATACCAGCTGGCCACGTGTTCAGTCAGACACTCAAAGCAACACTCGGTAACAGGCTGTTGGGTGGAGGAGAGGGCCAGGTGGTGTCATCTGGTGGTTAAGTACTTGTTGTTGAATCCAACCACTCAGCAGGCACTGGTCCCCATTAAGACACACCCATGTGTCTGAGACCCACAGCCATCCTCTGGTGGGAGGAGTCTGTCACACATCCTGGGTCATTGCAGAAGCTGCTCTTTAAATGGGAAAAACCCTGTGGTGACATTTTTACTACAGCTCAGCATCCAGATACTGTACTGCTGCATCAGGCCTTGTGACAGCCCGTGTGAGTGACACACTATGATGGTCCTTGTGGTCAGCAGGCTGATGGTTCATGGCCCATTTTACTGCGCTGATATCTTCATCCCAGAGAGGGAAACGTCTGTGTTCTAAAAAGATTCATTTCAAAGACTTCACATGATTTAAACACAGATGCATGTTACCTTGATGGTGACTCTCAGCAGTGTACCCTCAGACTGTTCTTCCCAACACATTTACTGCAGTTTCTCCTCCTACAGTGTCTACGGGTCACCTGCAGGGAGACCCTCAGGGGCCCGGAGGCTGCTGTGATGCAGCTTGGCCCAGTAAAGCCTGGAAGTCCGGAGATAAAACCAGTTTGTGATGGACGTTTCCCAGCACCATCATATCTCCAGTCCGCCCATCACACAGACGCACAGACACCAGTTGCTGCAGAAAGAGGGAGAGATGGCGTGTGAATAGGCAGTGACGTAATGAATGGTTGTTTTCCTTCACCGTGGACGCCCGTGTGTTGCTGTCAGTGCTGCTCCTCAGCCTCTGAGCAGATACAGTGGCTTGCTGTATTACGCACACGCCACTTTGCAGTTATTTATTTGTAACACATGTTTGGAATCACGTATGATTTTCGTTCCACTTCTCACGTGTGCACCACTTTGTGTTGGTCTTTCACCTGGAATTCCAATAAAATGTGACAAAATGTGGGAAAGTTCAAGAGAGCCGAACACTTTTGCAAGCACTGTATGTTCTCTGAATGTGGCAACCTTCAGAAGAAGCATCAAAGGGTGTGTACTGGAAGGTTTCAGATAATAATCAACTGTACTGAAGGACATGAGGTTTGTGAGAAGTATTTTAAATATCAGTGAAATGTTTCCTGTCTTCAGCTTTGACAGTAGGGCCAACGTTCACTAAGAACGCCGTGAGACGCCTGAAGCTGATCCTTCCTCGTGTGGCAGCTCGACTGATATCATTCAGCCAAGGCTCGGGGTTTGGTCTAACGTGTAGAGAAGGACGCCCCACCGAGGATGACACAGACTGATCACATCCTTTCAAAAGGGTTGAACTTTGATCCCAGCCACAGAAACAACAACGCTACAGCTGTAGAAGCAGAGCAGCAATGCAAAGCCAGCATCCAACATCAGCATGGACGAGAGGGAGGCACTCACATCACTTAGTAATGACAACAACATTGTGACAAAGCAGAGGAGCAGTTGCAATGCTCTCCATTTGCCCCATATGTGTTTACCTTTTTTTGCACATTGTACACATTATTCTGTTTCTATGTATTTGCTATGATTTGCTATTTGTCAAGTAACATTGCTTCACTCACTATCCCGGGTTTGTTTGTGGAAGCGTTTTGTTGCCGGCAAATCAAACATTCTGCAAATTAAGACAAATACTCAGTTACATGTTTCTTTATACTTTATTATGTTACAGATTAAGTCATTTGTTCATACTTTGTTTGTCTTTTCAGTCTTCATGAGGGTCAGGCGTGGGGAAACGCCCGCCTGGCATTTCCTCATTTTAAAGTCCTGATGATGTCACACATGACATCAGCAGATCAAACCAAGTGGAGGGGTTTGTTTTTCCAGAGAGATGCTTCCTTTTGTTTGTGTTAAGGTTTAAAGGGATTTGTTGAATGTTTTTCCTTTCGTTAATACTGCCATTTAGTTGTGTAAATGTGCATGTTAGAAGTGTGTAGAGGTTTTGTGTTTTTCGATCATCTGGGTAGAGTTTTAGATCCCTCAGTTGAGTGAGTGGTACTGGCTGGGCAATTGGAAGGAAATTGATGGCCCTATTTAAAGCCAGTCTCTACCAGCTGCAGCAGAGAGCAGAGGTGAGCTGTGTCACCAGAGCCATGTTATGTTAATAGAGTTTATTTGGGGAGGAAGTTTTGTTAAGTTACATTAAATTAAGTTCACTGTAAATAAATTGCTCACCTTGGAAACCTGAACTGTCGGCATAGTCTGCTTCCCTACCACCTTCCTTGACGTTCGAGTCTGACTACTTCACAAACATCAACATCCTTCCAGTAGAAGTAGGTGCACAGTTCTGCTAGACCAGAAAGACTAACAGGAGAAAATCTACTTATGAGCCCCAGGAAGCATTCGGATCAGTATTTAAGGTCTGACCCTCGTCACTGAATGGAGCACAACCTGGGTGTCAACACAGAGCCATGCAGACATACACTCATCCCCCCTCCCCTTCCAAACGCCTCCGATGCTTACGGTGGCTCAAAGGGGAGCAGCACATATGCTGCAGGCCCGGATGTGCTGTCTACACGGCTCTCTCCTTTTACTCACTCCTGTTGCTTGTCATGTGTTTCTATGGTGTATTAAGAGCTTTTCATGAGCTATGCGCTGAGGTGATTTTTTTCTGTTCTCAAACTGTTGGAGCTCAGTCTGGGGGGGGTCTTTTTCCTCCTTGTCCTTCCTCATGTTGTGCATTTTTCCATTGTTCGGTTCTGGGTCGCTGCTCGTGCTGCTGACCGGCCAGCTACCTACCTGTCTCCCCGATGATGTTTGTGTATTGCATGTACGGTCGGCACGGTCAGTCTCTTAATTGCCCCTGGGGGATAAATAAAGTCTTCTGAATCTGAACACCATCCCCACAGAGACAGCAGCAGGGAGGAACATCAGGTCAACAAGGCCCTGAGTAAACGTGGACATCTGTCAAAGCTGGAGGCAGGGCTGCAACAATTCATCAACATCCATGATACTGACTATAAAAACTTGTCGACGTG